TTTGTCCTGCTCCACTTGGATGGATTTTAAGGCATCACCACTTAAACCCCTCCACCACTCCACAACCTGTTTTTAAACCCATCATGTGTTCATCCTACGTTGTGCGTTTACCAGGGATCCGGGGCGTGGCATATAAAAGTACAACTAAAAATGTTACAAGTTGCTGGGCGACAGAGGTTCCGAGTGAGACAGACAAAGTGTGAGGGAGATGCACACAGAGCAAAGATATAAGAAAACGCAAAACTTTAAATTGAAAATTGTATTCAAGCGTTAAATTGGCTTTTTCGGCATTGCTCTCCAGCGAGCTCTCCAAAAAAAATAAAGAGAAAAAACCGCACGCAGCACACATAAATACTCACCTCTGGGGCGGCGCTCCTTTTCACTCCTTTCTCAGTGTCGCTGCAGCATGTGCTACTGCAGTTTTTCATTTTTTTCCATTATCTTAACTGTTTTTTGTCCCTTTCTCGCTTCGGGCATGCTACGTTTACGTTATGCTTTAACTTTCATATCTTAAATCAACTGTGGTGCCTGTCATTGCCCTTTGGCTGTTATTGTTTTGCCACATGTGACCCCATGTTAATAATTGCATCAAGATTTTCGTGTTTCCTGCACGCAGCTGTGCCCCAATCGCCCACTCCCCCCTCGCTCTTTATCTGCCCTTTTCTCATTGGCCAAAATACATTCCTATAATCGTTGTATGTTTTGCATGTTAATTATGCATTGTGTGGCATTCTCTCTGTCCCTCTCTCGTAACTCTTTGTGCATGCTTCATTCTAGTTTTCAGGCTTTTGCGTATTCAATAAACGCACCAGCAACGGCCTACACATGCCGAATCACTGCCCACCCCGATCCAAACCTCACCTCCCTCGTTCCACCCTCATTGTCTGCCACACCATTTTGATAGTCGATTCTATGATTTTGACATTTGTTTTCGGTTGCCTCTCTGCATGCAAATGACACTAGCTTTGATAGCAACGCAACGCATATGATGGGTGATTAAAGGGGAGGCAGCGGGGTGGGTATGTGGCTTATATACAATACTACAGTGCTTGCAAATGGCAGGCGTAAATGATAGGGAAACGACTGCTTTAACATCGCACACACTCACTCACACACACTTAGATAAGCTCGCTGGTGTCATTTGTTTTGGGCCCGTTCTGACAGCTGTGCCTGAACGTAGCACGTTATATAATGAAGTGTGCGGCATTTGGTACTGTACATACAAGTTAAATGAGTTACGCTTGTGTTTCTGACCAGGTCTGCAACGCATAAACCTTCTAACGAGATATAGACCATAGCTGTTATCTGCAGAATGTCCTCTTTAATGCTGCTGTTAAGCTTAGCCTCTTGTCAAATTATTAATCATGCTGTATAATAATAATTAATTTTAGCATATGTTCGATGCTGTTGGTTTTCTGCATTTTTAGCATATCTTTTAATAAACGCTTTGTTCTTTGACGGAATATCGTTTTATACATCAGCGTTCTTAGCGCTGATTTTAAGTCAACTTATAAGAAGGCAACATTTTATGTGATTGTGGCAAACAGTAGCTGCATCCAGCAGGCAATCAAAACACTTCAAATTATCTTTGCATGATAAGAATGTAAATTAATGTTGTTGCCAAATCGGTTGCGTGCCAGATAGTCATCAATATGCTGGCGATATTTATGAGGCGCGCCCGCAGGATACAGGCTTTAATGATACCCTAAAATAGGGCACTTAATTTCAGCTTCATTGAGGAGCTGCTTCTCCCGTTGTTCATGTTGTTGCACCACACAATCAATAACGATTTGATGAGGGCTGCCACACAGTATCTCACATATCCACCTAGCCGAGAACCACTTAATTGTGTATGTGTGTGTGTGTGTGTAAGAGAGAGCGAAACGAAAGCGAAATAATAATGAGGGTAATATTAAAGCAGCAAAAAAAAAAAAAAAATTGTGTAAGAAGCGAAAAAAAATCAAAGAAATTGGTCAGCAAAAACTACAAGAACGTGAACGTGAACGTGAACTGTGTGCGCTGTGTGTTGTGTGTGGCTGTCAAGTATGGGTTTATTTCAGTAGATTGTTCCAAACAAAAGCGAAAACTAAAAGTAGCCAAGTTTTTGCCTCATTTCTGGTTGTTTTCAGTTGTTTTTACTGGCCGTGTCCTGGCAGCCATTTAATGCGCGACTAACACGCAAGCCTTCCAACTGCTAAGCAATTTGTTGTTGTTTATACCACCGTGGAAAAAATTCTTTTATTTTATTTCATTTTTTTTTTTCTTTATACTGCTTTGTGTTGTTGCTGTTTTGTTTTTTTTTTTAGCGTGTGTGAAAAAACTAATAAAGGGGCAATTTAGGCAATTCTCGTTGATCGTTTGCTGTGGGCTGTGGAAATTTGTGATATCTGTTCGTTTGCCGCCCAACAATGGAATTTATAATGCCAATTATGAGAATTTATTTCAACTGCACATTTTACCCCAATTGCTTGTGAAAGCTGTTGTGGAGGAGGCAAATAAAAATCGCATTGCAATCATATCAGTTACGAACAGTAGTTAAACTGAAACATTATTATACTTTAATTATAAAATTATGTAAATGAACATTAAGCCGCGTTAAGCCGGAATGTGCTTAAGACCAGAATGGAATAATTTATTTATTTTTTTTTTTTACATTTATATCAACTTAAAGCTTTTAATTGTCTGTAAATTTTGTTGCAATATCAAAATGGGATATTATAAAAAGCTGACTGAAATGCGTTTAATTACATCGATATTAGCTTACTGTTCTGAACGTCATATTTATTATTAAAATGTACTTTTTTTTAAATTGGATTTATTATTTGATTTGCCATATTATTGCTTATGAATGAAACCAAATTTGAATACATTATTGTGTCATGCTTGTCAAATGCGAAAAATTGATTTGCAATAACATGTTTAAGTACAAAATACACAACTCGCTTAATGTTGTCAACATGACTGGATAATTTATAGTATTAACATATAGTGTACGAAAAGATATGCTTATAAAACTCTTTGAAAATAAACATTTTCTCCAAGTGTACGTCTTGAATATATGAAGCATCTTAGAATTGCGCATCTGCTTAGTTGGAAGCATCTGTTTCCATTTCACTTTATTCATGTACAAGCACACATGTGCACTTCATCAACGCCTACACACACTCGTATGACATCGCTGCTATACATCTTTGTTAAGTCAGCGCTTTGGAAATCAAAATAATACACAGCTTTTGCCACGCCCCAAGCTAAGATCAAAATAAATGTTACTGATTTTCTTCGGTTGTTCTCTCTCCCGCCCCACTTGTTGTTGTTTCGGTTGCAAAAACCATTAGATTTATTTATGTGTGTGTGTGTGTGCGTTGGCTCAGCCCTCTTGAATGGAGGCTCCTTTTGCGTTGCCACGTTTGCCACAAAGACCGGAGTAGCAATCGCCTCGTTTGACACTGAGCCGTACATTTATATTTTGTTTAATTTCCATGCAAGTCACGCATATCCTGACGTGATGCGCTGCTCGGCCTACCGCTTGTCATTTACTTTTAAAGTTATTTATATATTTTCGCGTGTGTCGTAATATTTGTATCTCTGTTTCCCTCCCTCTCTCCATTTCTCCATCTCTCTCTCTCTCTCTCTCTCTCTTCTCTCTTCTCTGTCAATCTATGTTATCTCTGTCGCGTTGTTAATTTTGTATGGTTTTTGGCATTCGCCTGGCTTACAAGCAACCTGAGCATTTCCTCTTGCTGTGTTTGTCATTTTCCGGCAAAGCGATAATTAGTTGGACTAGGTACGGCGAAGACTAGCACATGGCACATTTTGAAATGCTAATGCCAATGGAATGACATTTCGATTGGAAAATGCCTCCAGCTTATCTATTTTAGAAATTTATAATTTTGAAATGTCGTCGTAAAGAGCCAACGCCCTTGCGACGCCATTCTGAGTGCCGACTGCCTCGATGGCAGAAACAATAACGAAACAAACGAAATATTTCTATCTTAATGAATTTGACCCCCAGTGTCAATTTAGACTGATTAAACGGCCAGACTGGGCCTGAGAGCTGCGCATACACAAAATGTGTAGTTTTTTTTTCCTTTTCAAGTACACAACGAAGCGGAGGCCTTCTCTTACTCTCCAAATTCTCTCTCTCTATATATATATAAATATCTCTATCTCCCATCTCGCTCTGATGCGTCAAGCGGAAGCTACTCTGTCAACAGTTTACGCTCTTGTTTATGTAATTGAAATATTTGCCAAAGATTTAATGCTTTCATTTATTTACATTTTTATGATTTTCTGTGTGTTTTAATCACTTAAAAACAATTCCTGCTTATACGTATTGGACTTAATCACTTAAAAAGAATGCCTGTGTATATATATTGAACTTAAATGTATATTTATAATTTTAGAATTAGTTTTGTTTACATGTGTTTCGTTATTTTTAATGAGTGTTTTCAATTGCTGACATTTACTTTATTGTGGTGTCTTTTGTGGTTTTCTATTTGATTACAAAATTAGCGTAATTCATTCAAAATACATATGTGTGACAAAATACTGACAAATATTTGTTTAAAGAAAACATTTCACAATTGGAATGATTTGGTTTCCTCTAATTATGCAAATTAACTAGTTATGCATTTGACTAAGCAATATTCTGTGGCAATAATTAATCAAAATTTAATTAATTCTGGAGTTGCGCGAAAAATGCAATTTGTGAAATTCACAAATACAAAAAGTTTTGATTGTGTTTTCTAGTACCCACGGGCAATATTTTTGCATTTATTGTGGGAAAAATAGAAAAGAACAAAAGTATTTTAGTTTTAATTAAAATCAAATATTCAAATTTAGTTGCCAGTAGCGACTATTGAACCAATTTGACTTAATTTTGAAAACTTAAATTGTACAATGTTAATATTATTCACATGATTTAGACATAATCTGCTCACTGAAGCTATTAAAATTAAGCTCAAGACTAATTATGTTACTCTTTTCTTGTCTCCTTTCAGGTATCTGCCATGTCAACAATACATAACACGGTAGAGGTATAAAGTAAAACAAATTGTTGTACTTAAGTCTTTAGCTGCCACATGTCTTCCATCATTGTATATAGCCTCTTTCAACAAAATCCACTTTCATTTACCTCCAAAATCCACTTGTATATATGCCGTACGAACCTAAGGCTCAGTCATAAGTGCTATTATGCCTATTTTAAGCCCCATATTTATTATACGCTCCCTTTTGGGAAGCCTACCACACTGCTGTAAGCGCACGGCCACTACGACTGTACGACTGTACGTCGGAGTGTGTATCTATTTATGGGTGTGCATGTATGGTCATGGTTCCCCATATCCATTCCACCTTATTTACTAAGCATTAATGCCACAAATTAAAATGCTGTGCCGTATGTCGTTGCCATTACCATTGGTGCTTAATGAGTGGAGCTCCTACAACTTGCAGTGCCCCTCGGTTGTCTGGAGTCTAATTTTAGCTATAGCTGACTGCCAGCCTGTATGCGGCTTGCCTGGCTCCGGGATCGCCTCTCAGACAGTAGTCCACAGTGGAATATACACAGCATGGGGTGACCGTTCTCAAATCTCAACAACGTTGAAAAGAAAAAAAGATACAAAATACACACTCACTCACACGGTGGTAGCAAAGACGAAATGAAAGAAAACAAAAAGAGCTGAAAAACTTTATTAAAGACCTGAGCAGACTGCTCCGACTGTCTGCGCCTCACTCACTGACGACGACGACGACGACGACGAGCTCTCCATACGCAATTACGACAAAATCCAGTGCGCTGTATGTGCGCCGGGTGATAATGTGAACGAGCGCCCGAGCAGGGATAAAAATAGACAAGCACATATACACACACACACACACACACACATACACACAGAGTTACTCAGTTAAACACAGAGATGTTATCAAAAAAAAACAAAAAATTGAAAACAGAAAAAAAAAACGATGCTCGAGCCAGAAAGGATATTGCAGCAAATGGCTGCAAACGGACAAAGGGGCAAAGCCAACGTTTCGAGAAAGTGCAAATAGCAGAGAGAAAGACAAAAAAAAAACACATCTCTGTGCAGTTGCCGCCATGTGTTGCATTTCAAAGTGTGTGAGTTATGGGGCAAGCAAAGCGACTGCCAGATGAGTCAACAAAATGAGCTGACTGCAATGAACACTGAGCAACAAGAAATTTCATTCGCTACAATTACAATACCCACACGGAATTACTCCTATTATATGCACACACACACAGACACATACATATACATATATTTCTAAATCATATATATCATGTACCACATGCGCTCGACTGAACAACGGGAAATGTTACTCTGTCTGAAATGCAGTTGCAAGTTTAAAGCTACCATTCCAAATCAGATTCGACAATAGAACTAGTTATATGTTTTGAATGTTGCAGTGAGCAGACTATAGTCTACACTCTGCTTAACATTCCATATTCCTTAAATACGCACACAGACATCGTGGTAAGGATTTTCGGTAGCTTGGAGCTTGTATGCAAATTAAATACGTTTAATTAATGCCAAGAAACCTCTGAATATTGCACTCCCCGCAAAATGCGGTTCTCCCCGCAAAATGCGGTTCATGCTGGCTGCATATTGCAAATATTTTTATAAATAGCAAAAGTATGTGGCATAGCATGAAATGTGTATTAATATCGCTTAGTTGGCAGAAGAAGCCAAAAGCATGCAGCAGCGCCCACAGCTGAAGTTTGTGAGTGGAAAATTTGGGGAAAAGGTGAACATTTTCTGCATGCAAAGCCGTTAATATGCATTGTACAATCGCTGTGTTGCAGCTTATAACAATGTGAAGGAGTTGAGGTTGAAAAAAGGTCAAAATGTGAAGTGTGCCCTATCAAAGTCATATAACTTCCAAGTCACTGACTCGGAAAGTTACAAGTCTTTTGAAAAGGTTGATTTACTTTCTAAAAAATATATTTTACTATTTGCTTTAAGTTGTCGTTTCTTGCTAAGTTTTAATTTGCTCTTGGACTGAAAATTTAACAAATGCTTTTTTCTTTCCCCTCTCTTCTTGTTTTCAAAGCAATTAACTTGTATTTTCTAAAATTCCTGCCTGCAAATTCTGCAATTTTATTTCATATCAATTTGAACTATGTAACTGGGCGCACATTTATCACAAGAGGCCAAGGATACTTTACACCTCGTAAGCCTATATGAACAGAGTGAGCCTGGCCATGTGTCTCCGTGTCTCACCCCCCTTTTGTGGCACATCCTATTTCGACAGCCAAAATTTTAATTAAGGCAGCTTCTAGGGCACAGCAGAAGGAATTGGTGGCAGCCCATTAAGTCCCAAGTGTCAATGAGTTGAGGTCACAATTTTTGCCTGCACTTAACCCATAAGTTATGCCGAAATAGGGAGAGAGGTGCCCGAAAATGTGCCAACGTCAGGTGGCGTTGCCACAAAAAGCAGTGGCAGCCAACCCATTTTCCGTACTCCAAGTTGTTGGTGTACAAAATGATAAATTATCCGAAAAATGTGCAAAGTTCTGAAAATTACACATTAAATCATGCAGAAAACACTGGTACCACCTTTTTAGCTATAGCTGTGGGGATGTTATGAAAAGTCATTGTTAAGTTTATGACTCTGATTGCGGGAGTAGTCAGTGATATGGGAAGGGGTGAGGAGGGTGAAGCATAGTGCGTTTCGGGTTATAGGGCAACAACAATTTTATCGCTCGCATGAGCAAGACCTTGTATTGCATTACCTGTTTATTTGATTCGTTTCTTTTTTTTTTACATTTTGCTGGTCACGTTTTTTTTTTTGTGTGTGTGTGTCGTAAATTTGGGCAAACAAACAGAGCAACAAGATGGCAACAAAAGGTAGCAACGATTTTCGTTTCATAGTATACATTTTAAGCAGCAGGTTTGTCTATTTTGTATTTTCATTATTATTACTATCCATGCTTAGTGCAGACATTGTGTTATTGTTATTGTTGCTGTTGTCAGTTACTGTTTTCCTTAGCCTGGCACATATTTCATGGCTATGATTTACTCGTTGTTCAGGGCCGTTGGTTGCTGAACATCCAACAAGCAACGACTCAAGCTGAACAAGTGCCCAGTTCAGAGTGGCCAGCCCCTCATAACACCACACCCCACCCTCCACCCCCAACGACCATCGGCCACCTACTATTCGAGTCGACTGTTTGTTTATTTTGGGCTGACTTGGGTCAACTAGTTGAGACATGAACCTAATTTACTGGCTGAGTGCCTTTCATGCTCAGCACTCTCACTCACTCTCTCTATCTCTCTCTCTTACATCTACTTTATCTCTCTTAGTGCGCATTTGAAATGTCTTATTTAGTTTTGTTTATTTTTCAAGTTATACACATCGCAGTTTATGCACGTGCTGACAGCCATATTAAAGTTGGCTAAGCCATGTATGGCCTTAACTTTAAGTAGCCCCCAGTTGCCCAATTACTCCAAAAACGGCATAATAGTACATTATTTGTTGAGAACAATACAGCAATAGAAGCCATATGAAGAGCAATCCAGCTTATAGGAGAACAAGTATGAGAGATTTAATTAATAAAATAAACTTGTCCTATTAGCTGAGACGGTCACTAAATAAATTGTAATAAATTTAAATATGCTTGATACAAGCTTTAATTTGTTTTACCTATAAAAGTCGGTCTTCATTTCCTTAATAATCAAATTTGTTTATTATAAATCTCGGTTAAATGTAGTATATATCATTCATGCTAGAGCAACTATTTGCCACATCATTTTGTAAATGGTCAAAGTCAAAGCAAATTAAATATACCAAACCGTGTTCATTAGCGTTGGCTGGCTATCTCTGTCAAAAAATCAGAGCAGCGATGCATGAGTGATAAACCACCAGGCAAACTCATCAGTCGGCCAGGCTTGTTAAGCGTCAATGTTTGCCAATTTGGTCACGTTAACGAAGTTGAGCTCACCGACTCATCCTCATTCCGCGCCGTACAGTATGCAATAAAAATTGTCTGTATGTGTGTGTGGTTGTTGTTGTTTTCTTTTTTTTTTTTGATTTTGTTGCTTTACGGTAATTTTCCCCATTTTAATTGTTTTTACGTCTCAAATTACGCATGTGAGTGGCAGTTTGGTTAATGGCTGACATCCCTTTAAGTGGAAAATCAGCAAAGTCGCGTCAATAATTGCAAGTCAGCTGGTTAACTGTACGACACGAGCCACGCACGTCAACAAACCAACACATGTTCGGTTTGAGATTTCGCTTTTATTCTGCTGCATGTTGCGAGTGTGCTTAAACGTAGTCTGTCTGCCCCTGCGTGCTTTCTACAAGCACTTAATAAGCTTTACATGTGTTAAAAGCCAGCTCAGTGGGACAACCAGAGACAAACACACCAACACAGAATGAGTTAGCCGAGTGCTCAGTTTTTAATGAAAGCTCATCAACATTGTCGGTTGGGTGGCAACAACAGTAACAACAACAGCGTCAGCAGCAGCAGCAGCAGCAGGTAACTGTAGCGGGTGGCAGCAACTGCAATTGCAACTGGCAAACTGGCTTAGGGTCTAGTCTGGTCGCATATATAGCAATTAGTAGTCATTGTAGCTATTACGCCCACTTTATACTCGTTGGTCTTGCTTAATTGGCAAGCCCATCTTATGCCACAGCAGCCACTCACTTAGCAACGGCAGCCTCTGCACTTATCCCAAATGCATCTCAGCCACGCATTGAGCATAACAACAATAGCAATCAAACCCAACTCAACCCTAAGTGGCAGAGAACCACAAGCCGTACAGCCACCAATAGCAGCTCAGCCGAATGTGGCCGTTGATACGGAAGGCTTTATCTAGGCAAGCATCCTTAACGATTCAGTGCTCTTAATAATCAAATATATTTTATGATTCCTTGCTCTTAATAATCAAATATAATTTATGATTGCTTGAATTTTGAATTTGAACACAAAATTGATTAAACTGAAATAAGTATAAAGACAATGTTTGCCATGCATCTTAATTTTTGAGCGCTGCGATTCATAGTCAACTTGCCCACAAAA